CCACCATAACTCCCGAGTTAGTGTACACAATTTTAAGACTTTACCACTCTGAACTTGCAAACGTGGCAATGTTGAACTTCGTGTGTTCACGCCTCCCTCGTCCCCGTCAATACCCTGACGGGCGCAAAGAGTGGGAACCCAGGTAGGTCTATGGTTTTAACCGGGGTTTCGAAGTTGTGTATCGGCTGTATATGTACCCTAATTCCAGTCATTCAAAATCATATTATGATTGACTTTCATAATAAATATGACACAGACCTCGGGCTGCCAATGAACACCGTAGGATTTTCCATACCCGGACTCTGTGGCAAGGATATAAAAATATTAAATTACTATGAGGGTCGACAAGTGGTATTTTTCTAAGCTGTAATCAATTGATTTTATTTAGGTAATAATATAATTTATTAAATAAAAAACGGAAATTCGTAGACATGGGCAAGGTGTAAAATGTAATCAGCTATTTTATTCGTCCGTAATTTGTACAAAGATCATATTTTTCATAAGCGTATAAAGCATTTTCCAAATTAAATGTCGTAGTTCTTATGCAATTTCCAAAATTATTAAATATATTGTGAAAATGAAATTAGGAATTTGCTTTATCTGTAAAGTTTAAAAACCCATTTTTACTGTCCATGGAACTTTTATTATTTCTCGTAAAATCGAAAAATGTCTTTTTCGTAACCTGTACCAGCTATTCCCCCTTGCCCCCACTACTATATGTTAAATTTATTTCGCCATTTCAAAATTATACAAAAAAACATACTATATTAATAAGTTTATTTTTAGCAATCATTTGACTTCAATATTCTTGTAAGAAAAGGAACAAATAAATAATAATTTGACTGATTATTCAACAACAACAACTGTCGATCGATCGTTTATTGTACAGAGTCAGTAAACGTCTATGCTTATCTCCTGTTTATGTGTTCATCCAGTAATCTGAACTGTGTAGGGAAAAACAAACATCTTATTTCTGGAGTCGAGGCAGCTTCCGGGAAACAAAATTCTAGTAGGGAATACATGTATGCCACATGTTCAATAAATGCCTTGCGGTATCCAGCAAAACAAGGTCTCGTCCACTCGCAATAAATAACATCTGATAGGATCATTTCCACTAATGTGAAATAGATCTGCATCTCTGGTAACTGCACTATGCAGGGCATTCATGTTTAGCTAAGAACGACTCCCGATATATGCATTTAGTAGAATAAAAACATGTTTGGGATTTACATGTAACTTTTCATGTTCAAAGAACAGGAATACCTGACTCTGGATAAAGCCATGACAAGAAAACACATTGCGACAACCAAAAGGTATATGTACAGCTTTAATGAAGGAAACTATATGTACAGGTTTAATGATAGAAAATAACAGTTCAGGAAATACGAAGTTTCGTAAAGAGAGACGCGAACCAATTTTGTATAACGAGAATTTTTTTTAGTAACGATAACAGCCAGTCACCCAGAAAGCACACACCTGTGAAAAAAACAAAAGTTTACAATTATATTTAATCAACAGTCTCAATATGTAACCAGTATTTAATAAATATGACAATCGGATAATTGTATTTAATATACTGGAGATTGGAGAGTGAGATTCATTTCATGTTAAAATGACACGTACATTTTACAAGATGCGTTATTTCATTATATATGAAGTACGGAATTTGTTTATGTCACAATAACTCGCCCTTGAATGTTAATATCAGACACACACTTTGTTAGCTTCGGCCGTGTTTTTATACCCGCCATTTAGAAAATGTCGCAAAAATCCGGGCAGCGAAACCACACTAGGTCTGCGTAGGCAGCCATCTTGGAACTGAAAAACGTCACCCCAATAAACCGGAGGAATATAAAAATGTCGTCGTTGAGCCACAGTAAAAATAACGCCGTTCGATGCGTTATCATACAACTTCTTTGTATAGTTATGTTTTTCGGTGTAGCAATTCTGAACTTGCAATCGTGGCAATGTTTAGCGTGGCGATAGCGAAACCCACAATCGAACAGAAAATCATTAATAAAATTGAAACCGCTCCACAGATTCTTTAGAAAATTCGAAGGGCTAGACTTACCTGGTTCTCAGTGATAATGCCAGATTTCAAGCAAATTCCCTGGACGTAAATACGAGATTACACGGGAACAAATTTAACGATGAAGACATCGAACGGTCATAGTTAACAGCGCCCTCTATAATTCCATTCAAAGATAATGTGAACTGTTGCATGTAAATAGATGATTTTCCGTACAATTGCGAGATCTCGCGAGATGCATGTAAGACGCGCGTCGAACGTCTACCGCAAAAATCGAACGATTTGATTTTGAAATTCGAGTTTCTTTATTTCGTAGCTCACATCGACCAGCCGATCTTCGACAGAGGAATATTGCTTCCGAATACCATTACTTAATCGAAATTGCCTATCATCAAATGTATACAGCACATTACTAAGCATGGAAATGTCCCCGAAATACTTTCGCGTTTGTCGAATCCCACGCGATGTTTGACGACAGAACGACGCCATGACCTTTGTTTGTCCTGTTGTTACGTTCGATTTCACGCATAACGCGTGATTCTCGCAGTGAACGGAAAATGGTCAATTAGGCTCTCTCGCGTCAGGCTGAAGTGTAAGTTCTATAAATAGCTCTGAGAAATAGAAAGTACACTAGTCCACTAATAATGGTTCTACTAAAACCAGAATGTTTCGTAACATAAACCTATGTAAAGTAAATGAATAAGTATAGTCAAACGTAATTAAATATATACTAAAGTATTGATTGTTCTGGCTATGGTGATGTTATGTAATGGCACAATAAACAGTGTACGCTATATTTACACCATAATGGCACTTAAATCAAACCATATAAAGCACACGTGTGAAATCACTCGCCGTGTTTGCAGACCTTCCTGGGCAATCAGTTCTCAGTGAAACGGTTTGCAATAGCAAGATATTGATGGATCTCAAAGGTGTACATCTGTACCGTACAGTTGGTTGAGTCACACTGCCAACCCATCTGATTTTAATCTCAGATAAGAACTGACCTTAACACTATGAATAACTGTCACCAATAACTCTGCGTGGCGCTATTCACCACATGATTTTATCCAAGTGTATAAGTGAATATTATATTGAATAGTACGCAGTAAATTAAAAAGAAACAACAAAAAACATAAAAGTAATTAAATACACAAAATGTTGATTTGGCCATAACAATTATAATACAATACAATACAAAGTACATTGTATACTCTCAAGAATTCGGAACACAACAGCAGACTATATATAATAAGTCTTCCACCATAAATTACCCCCGACCTATGTACGGTACATACTGCCCAGTAACTCTCGAAACATTTCTGAAAATTTGTCAACAACATATTGAACAAACGACGTCTAAATTTAATTTAAAAACGCAAGTAAGTTGCTCTGAGCAATAATAATATGTATCTCAACAATTATTTTGAGAGTCTTTTAATAAATGGGTAGAATTGATATGAAATATTGTACTGACCTGACATGGCATGTATACCAATGTGCATTGCAAGTGTGTCTTACGACAAATGACTTAGGGTATCGTGACCTGTGACGTACTCGATTGTTCCATTATATTTATAGGGGTGAAGCATCATCAACTATGCTAATGTAACTACGTTATTCTGGTTTTGTTGTACACTAACAAAGCGGGAAATTGTGTTATCAGGTGTTACCTTTGTAACTGTTCCGCAATTTACTCGTAAATGTGAGTCATATATAAGTCTCATGCCACTAATTAGCCACCACCGTTTGTAAACAGCGATTTTCGTCAGGTGAGCGCTTATTGAGAGCGTGCATTAATGCCTGGGTCAAACGTGGGACTAATATGTGATCTTTTGTTTACTACAGTACCTGTGAGTTTATTCTGTGTGTATTTGTATGTTTTAATATTGTGATTTTCCCAGAGAATCATATAGGTGCAGTCCCACTAGTAGGTGAGTCTTGTTTATCTCAATTTTGTCAGAGTTTGAGCTGACCAACATGTGCGTTTTTTCTCTTATGTGCTTGATTTACTGGTCTGCTAAATTCCCACTTTATCATTTTCATATATCAATCAGCCCATATGTTAACATTGCCATCGATGGAGTTCAAATTAGAGATATAAGCCCTGTATTCTCGACATTGGCAAACTTGTCGTTTACTCAATTCGCATGCGTACTGTAATTGGTTACCGCGCTGGCACACTTGTACTGACATGTCAACATACATATGAGCGCTCATTTAAGCTTCATCAATGGTCATGTTGAAGTTAAGGTGGAAAGTCCTCGCACACTAGTTGATATTCGCTTAGTTTTCGGGCAGTAAATTTATTTTAAAGTAAGTTCTATTGTCAACTATCATTTCATATCTAGTTTCACTTCCTGGTCATCGACCTGTCGCCACGTTTATGCAGTGCATTGACGTTACTCGAAACTTTGTACTATAAAATCAGACTGGTATTCAAATATAGACGCTGCTTGTCCCAATAACTCGTTCATTCAAACGTACTGTATGCAACCTACTCGCCACTCTTATTAACTGCATCCAGTAGTTATTGTTATTTAGTCCAGGGACAGCCTGGTTGGCCAGATTTAGTCGACGAGAATACATGGCTACAGCAGTCCCTCCTCCAAACAAACCGTTTACTGTTTAGTCAATCTTGCTCAGATTACCTTTATTTTATGATATAAAAATAAATATATGTGGACGTTGCGTTGCTGGGGTTAACATGCGTAAAGGCCTAAATGAATAAAACATGACTTAAACACCTTAATTCGACATTACGAATACATACGATGAAATGTTTTATTGGTTTCAAATTGGTGAATTTCATTAAGTGTTTTTCCAGTGATCACACAATGTGTGGGCGATTTAGTTTCGCTTCTTTACAGTTGAGCTATATTTAAATCAGCTGATTCATACACTGTTCTCTGATATAATGCTAGGCACACGCTGCAAGCAATACTCGTCTTACCAGATTAACTGAAGTAAAATGCTGTCCATTCAATCAGTGGCCAGCCGTGGGAAGCTCTTCACACTAGGTTTGATTACACTGAGTGAGTATGTTATTGTAGTTTATTTATACATTTCACATACAACTTACTCGAAATACGATTACAGAAACCAACTACTGGAACGTAAATTGAACAAATACTTGATTTCAATTACATTATTTAGAAACGAAATCAATTATAGTTTTGCCATAGGTTATGAAGTAGAAATGAAAAACCACGCCCTCTATTGATGAAGCGCTTCTAGTTATCAGAATAGATTGAGCATGCATCATCCTGTTTAATTATACCACAGTGGAATATGTAAAATGACATATAGTTATGTAAACGAATATATCACATACATCAAAATTGTAGTTTCGAAAATCATACACTTCTTTTATATAAATAATAACCTGTACATTTTTGGTAAATTTACATAATATTTATATTACATATAAATTGCGTTCTATATATATATATATATATATATTTTCTATATTTTTCAAGACTTGTCAATTTGCAGCAGTGCTGGTACTGCATTTACATGTTTTGAGATTGGCGATATTTTCAATATTACGTGTCCATTTGAAACATCGCAGTCAGTAACATTGCAATCCGTCAGATGGTCGGTGGATGGCGTGAATAGCCTAATCGCACATCAACTACTCGGGGATGAAAAAGAACAAAACGTTGTCGGTGATAATAATATAATTAACGGACCACTTAGTCTGACAGTTAATACTACTGGCATGAAAGAAGACATCAATTATGTTTGCACTGTTACATACCTGAACGGAAACCATAGTCAACAACAGATGTGTCATGTTGAACTTCACACATGCGGTAAGCAATGTTCGTGCAATAACAATTAAATGACACCTATATGACTAATGTGAGTGCCACATTTCCGTCATCACATCGTGCTTTACAAATATGAATTGTTTAAGTTAAAAACATTCGCGAAGCACTGTGGGTAGAATTATGTAGGCGTGGCTATTAAAATGTATCTTGCTGACTGACTGCCTGTAGAAGGGCGTACGTAAATATGGAACGCTCCTGTATATACAGATAGCAAAGCTTTGGGCTAATCTGCACTGGCTCGGAAGGTTGTAAATGATTAGCTAGTTTGAATTTGCATAACAATACTGACAATGAACGTGCATTCAACGCCACAAGTTTTTTTGTTTTTTTAGCCAATCAGAATTCATCTTCCGAGCCAGTACAGATCAGCCGAAAGCTTTAGTTTAGTTACCTCACTGTTACATAACAGTGATTGACAAGAGTTCATTCACGAGAGATTCTATTCTCTGCCCTGGAATACCGGTAACACCTGAGCGGAGCGTAGTCAACAATGACGGTTACAGTGAGTGTAAAGAACAAATGACTATTACCCCGAGATGCACAGTGTGATATTTACAATAGTCCCGGGGATGTCGAAAAAAAATCAGTGTCTGTTTACATATTTACCTCATCCATAGTCACGTAGTATCATGATTTTCCACCTGGACGACGCCGGCGAGTTCATTTTGAGTGAGCTTTCAGTGATGCACTGTGCCACTCCTTTATTAATATAACAGCTGGGTTTGTAAAACTTCGTTTTCACTAATCCCGTGAAGAGGGTCGGACTCACTAGTATGAATTTACAAACGGGTGTGCGAGGCACCCAAGTGGTGTATCAATTATGTTTCATATTGGACAGGGGCCCTTTTTACATGATTTTGAACTAGTGTTTATGTGGTTGTGTTAAATTCAGTTTACCATGAATTATGTATTAACTACGTGATATTACGTCGCATTAAACATGCTATTTTTAAAATGTGTTTCTGGAGTGAATTTAGTCTTACTTGATACAATAATAATTAATATCGCTCACTAGGAGTGAACCAAGGTCTGCACTGACAAGGTTTGCCCGAACGAGGTTCTCTCCCACGCTGATTCACCAACATTTCTACTATTGGGTTTTGGCTTGTACTGAAGTACTGTATGACAATACTATGTTAAACTGCAGGTAATGCGGGCGCCGATAACCGTTGAGATCGAACACTAGTTTGTACTGTAAACTGTGTAGCACGATTATAATTATAGAGCAGCGCGTGTTGACGAAACAATCCTAATACTGTTAATATACAGACTTTGTGACCGTCATTGTGACTACGGCGCGTGCTCTTTCCTCATCGATCAGGTGCTTCCGGTAGGGGTTTTCAAGACAATCTTGACCAATTGTGCAAGTGGCCATCTGTTTTATTTATATTGTGTTTTGTTTTCAATTCGCAGATTCCTTGTCTACGCAATCACTGGCGAGTGCGAATCACACTACAATTTGGGATGTTCAAAACTCGACACAAAAATACATTGAGATGCTTTCTTACATACTGGGAGCGATTTTAATCGTTGTGGTTTTCACGATAGTAGCCATTGTCGTCTATTGTCGACGGAAAAGAACAGAGGTAATATATCTAAATCCTTAGCGAGTCTTGAAATCATATTATTTTTTGTAAGAACACAGATACACAGAGTTGTTGTTATTTTAATATGTCGACTTTAATTTCTTGAATGATTTTTTCACTGATAATAATTTGCGTCATGTGATACTCAAAACTGTTATAATTTCTATCGATGTTTGTTATTTTTTAGGTGAATGATCCAAGCTATACTGCTATTACCCGGGTTTCGTCTAATACTACAGAAGCGTAAATGGATGAACTGTGTTCTATGTTTACTGTATATGTCTAATTGAAAGAAAAATACAGCTAAACTAACATAGAATGTCATATAGTCTGTTCCATTCGCCTGTGACATGGAAGTTTGGTGTACATGAATTATTTTATTTTTGACGATAAGCAAACTCTAAGGCGCTTATATTTGCGTGTATTACATATGCTTTCATGAATTTTCTAATACATTTCACATAATTACAATCATCTCGAAATTAGTCATTGTATTCAGTCTTATACGAAATAATCGATATTGTAACATTATCCTTTGAATGTCGTGGACAATGCAATTGTTTTTGTCATTTTAACTACAATACACGATATTCAAATCAATACCGCTGATGATAATCAAACCCGCATGTTTTCATGTATCGTATATATACGATCAACACTGTGTATTGCATGTCACTTAGTATATAGTATACAGACTTTATGATGTATGTTCTTTCAAATGTAATTATTTAATATATGGTGAATTAATTACCAGAACATTATTGGTATTATTCTGGTTTTGTTCGTCAATCATTACGCTGATAACCCACTTTCTAGTCTGAATTTACTCCATGTGTACTTCACCCATACCCTGTTGCAATATATAAACTGACATTGTCAACGCATGACTACTTAGAAAAGATGACGTAATGCTATGTAGAATTTTATTGACAACTAATAGAATGAGATTGATGAAATCATGAAACAATACAGGAAATATACGAGAGAAAACATCTCCCGTCATACTTATGTGATGATCTGTTTGGACACTCCTTTAATTTTATTTATTATACAATACCAATACTCGAGGAATGAGCGTAACTCAACGGGACAGAATAATTTCCTGTACACTCATATATAACAGAGTAGCCCACCCCTGTTCTATTTCCGATCCGTCTTCCGACCGGAGGTGATTGACCTGAGTCACGTGGTCAGGTAAATCCCCTCCTCGGATTCTTCCTGCTCAGCGGGGGAAACTCAGATTGGTGTTACGCCATGGCCGTTCAAAAACTGTTTTATTTTTGCTTTTATTATTTGCATCTGTAATTCAGCTTTTCAGTATTTGTACAGTATGTTTTAAGAAATTGATTAGATGAGATTGAAATTATTCCCGTTCAGTTTCGGTCATTTATTCGTTATTCTTAGAAGTCATGATGCCATCGCCGCTACATGATACACGCTGCACTGTGTTATCAATGAAGCTTTCGAACAATAACTTTCACCGACATTGAACTTTATTCGCTTCGTGATAATCGCTTTTTATGTTGCTTTGATCATGTTTTCAGTACCAGTTATATTCGATTCAATGTCACTTATTACTCAACTCGGATATAACTTTACTATTACTATGTACTAGGTTACTATGTAATGAACATGATTGTGTGAAATCGTGGGCCGACGTTTTTAGTGGTTGGTATGACGACGCAAGCGCACATATAACTCCGACAAACATTGTATTTTGTTTTTATTTCATGTGAATCTCTTGTGTTTTCCTCTCCCTGCTCGACGGCGTGAAACTCGGTCAATAAAAGTTATACGTAAGCACAACCTTGATCTACAATCTATTATTTTTGCAGACACTCCCCATTTATGTCGGAAATTTGTGTCACACTTACATCGAGCCTCTTACATTGAGCATCAAACTGACAACATCTAAGGCAGTAACCTGTTTTCAACAGTCTTGGAATGGCCACTCAGAAACAGTGCATGGCTATAGGGAAAGCAATGTGAGAGTGCGCCTGCTACTGTGTATTTATCAAACTAACCATTCAGGCGTGTTGTGATGTTTTGTTATATGCACCTACGCCCAATATATATGTCTTTGTGGATATTTATTTATTCCTGCTGTTAACCCCTACCACTGGGGTGTTAGGCAAAAATGTACTACACTGTATCGTCTAAAAATGAAAATACGATTTTTAGTAAATTTTGGATCGATGTATTTACTTATTATTTGTGTTGTTTTCAGGCAATGTTTGTGCAAACTAGTAAACATCCTTAAGGTAACAACTTATTTAGAATGGGTAGTTATACCAAGTTAGTGATACGTCTTTTTATACGCCCTCACAGTGCAACAAAACGTTTGTTTGTGGCTGTCAATAGAGGGCGTCTTACATATCTACATTTGTATAGTGTTTACCAGGAATAGTGTTTGACAAGACTTACAGATCAAACTAAATCAACGTTTAGCAGTGCAGAGAATTATTAAAAATCCTTCCCATTTAATAATTAAAATACCTGTCTTTTGAAATTCTGACCCACTCTCCAATTATGAAATTATCATAAGAAACATGTGTTTACGCGAAATGGTCTCACATTTTGTTGTTATAAATGTGTGACCTTTTGCAAAATTACGTAATATTGTACATTGTCATTCGATACATTTGAGTGATTCTATTTATGATTGCTTGCTAACATTTATACCAAACAAAGCACTTTCCTTGTTAGGTGGCCCGGGATCAACAGGTAATCATAAAGTTGTAAAAAAAGGATGCAATAATTGTGTATGTGCAGGTGTAATCAAACAAAATCTGTACATCAAACTAATAGTTTAATTTTAATAGTTTAATAGCTTTACAATGCTAACTGACTGTCTGTAGAAGTGTAAATGGATCGCTTTTTTACAGACAGATAACAAGCACAGCATGTTTCTAATCAATCATTGGTTTCTTGTGTACAATTTTCCGTGGACGAGACACCCACCCCCTATGACGAATATTAGTGTGGCGAAATTTATCACCTAGAATAAGATAACTGCTGATAGAAGCTCCAATAAATCATAAAAAAACACATGGGCAGAAATCATTTAATACAACAAATTCAGATGGTTATATTCATGAATAAATAATAATCTCAAATACTGATAATATATAAAAAAAAACTCTACTTGTTTCTACCACAATAAGGAAAAAGCTGGTTAAGGGTGAGCAGTTACCCCAACTTTGGGATCAAAGCGATTTTAAGGGCATTCCTAGCAGAGCGGATCGCCACTATAAACACAATTACATTAAACACATTTAATTCTTTCTTGACAAAATTATAAAATGCCAAAAGTTAATATAAAATAAATATATCATCTCGAACAATTGCTAAAAGTAGACATACACCTCAGAGTGGATAAATATTTTTGAAGATAAATGCAAGTAGTTTAGCATGCACTATAGGTACGACCATGAGGGCGCTGTTCATATTGGGATGCGATGACGTCATGCATGGATGGGGGAATTATGCATAGATGAGCATAAATGATGACGTCACAATTGGAATTCGTGCATAAATTAGCATAAATGAGAGAACCATGCTCGTAAAGGGTTAATTTGCATGAGGATGACCTCACAATGGGATACTGTGAATACATTTGCAAACATAAATAGATTTGAATACGAGGTCGTCACTAGGTCATCGTGAATACATTTGCATACATTACCATCATTTAAAAAAAAAAATTTAATTGGATTTTTTAATTTTTTTTTCAATTATTTTAATTGTACGAGCATGGATTTTTCAGAATATATCATGGAGGGCCCTCACACCCCCACACACACTAATAAATATACGTCATTTTGAAAACAAACAGAGTTTATTACACAAACGATTGGTAAAACTACCAAGATCAATGACATGGAATATATTTTTTTTTTGTTTGAGTAAATAATCAAAAAAGAATGGATTAAAAAAACTGAGTAATATATAAGAATGATATTATTAGGAGTAATATTAATAAGAGTTATAAATAATAAACATGACATTTTTAAATGGTTGAAATACATAGAGTATAAATTTTCAAACCCGCTTAGGTATTCACACTGAGTAATATACGAATAATACATAGAGTATACATTCTCAAACCCGGTTAAGTATTTGATTATGAAACTGACACAAGAAGGTTAAAAGTAGTAAGATAAGTTGCATGGAATATATTTTTTTGTTTGTTTGAATAAATTATCAAAAAAAATGAATAAAAACTGAGTTATATAATAATAATACATATATAACACGATAGTTAAGTATTCTCCAAGGAAAATCAAGCAAACTAGATTGAAATAGAAAACCCACCAAGTGTCCTACATTTCACTGTACTATAGAGAATGAATGCTAAAGTATGATTGGCATTCTTATTCTATATATGCTGTAGTATGATGTCAAAGAGTTGGGAATCCATTTCACGTGTTGATAACGTGATTTCACGGCAAACTAAACACATTTTGGGGTTTGATTTATATCGTGGAAGCAGAAAATGTGTATAACGTTTGGAAAATTTTCCAACCAAATCTGGGTGAATGCATTGAAATGCATCGTAACACATGGCAGTTTTACCACTTTCAATTTCGAACAAAGCTTGGTCAATGTAGAGACGAATTTCATTATTCTGACTATCTTCATCGGCGAATCCATAAGATAAACACAAATGCTGCCTTTGTGAAGGATGTTCTATCTCACACCTGAGGCAATTGGCTTGACTTATACGACGTACTTGTGTAGAGATGAATTCAGACGATTTTCTTTATAACAAGTTTATCCAATGGTTTCCTGTTGCCTATGAAAAAATACAAAGAAAATATCTATATATAATTTCACCCATAATAATCACTGGTAAACGTTTAGCAGATTGAACTGTATTTACAACAGTCTCAAAAGTATCAGTTTGCAAAATTGCTAACGAAATGACTAAACTGCCTGGTATTTAAAAGTCGCGCCACTCTGAATGAATCTATATAACAGCAGGGGTAGAGGGATCATACCTACATCTTTTTAGTCGCGTCCACTCTGGACGAATCTATATAACAGCAGGGAAAAAAGGATCAAATAAAACGAACATACCTGACAAGACGTTGATTTGTGGTGAAATGTCATTCAAATCTTGGAGCTGGTTCAGGATACACCATGCTTGGTATGGTAGTCGTTATAGTACTCACGAATATGTACGCCGGCAAAAGGAATTCACGGTCACATACAGATTGTTTATGGTCCACAGCAGATATGTGCAAA